AAAAAAAAAAAAAAAAAGAAAGTGAAACATACTTTCTTCGTTGCTTTTTTGAGACAGGGTCTTGTTATGTAGTTCAGGCTTGCCTTGAACTATGTAGCTAAGGCTGGCCTTGAACTCTCAATGATACTCCTGTCTCAGCCTCCTGAGTGCTGGGTTTACAGGAGTGAACCATTATGACTGGCAGAAACATACATTTTTGCATCGCAAGCAAAGAAGATTTTCTCCTGAAGATTTGCTCCACAAGAAATGCTGTAAGAGAATTTGCAGGCTGGAAGGGAAATTACACTACACATAAGCTATTTCCTGTCATGAGTATCCAAAAAAATGCAAACAAGAGGATGATTAAGAGTTATTCTTACATTGGGTAGAAATCGACTATTGTACAAATTATAAGTGTTTTGGGATTTGACTCTCATGTGGAAATAAAATATGTAATGGCAAGAATACATGATGTAGCAGCAAGTGTTTTGTATACAATCAGGACCCAGCCAGGCAGGGGCCCAGCCCTCACTGAGCTTACACAGCCAGAGCTGCCACATCTATTTTCACTTGTCTCTAAGAGCAGGGGGAGCCTAGGAGGGCAAGAAAATTTAAACAATGACCACCTTTTGAAATCATTATTTTTCCAACTATTGTTGGACATTAAATGAATCTGGTCAGTCCTCAGTATCTTTTTCAGTTCTTCAATTAGACTGGAACAGCTCCTGTTTGTTGGTTTGGTTCTTTTTGTTTTTGTTTTTGTTTTGGTACCAGGAATTGAACTCAGGATCTTGTGCTTGCCAGGGAGGCACTGTGCTACAGAGCTGTATCACCAACCCTGCTGGTTTGGTTCTACACTGTCTAACATTTCTCATATGTTCAACCACTTTAATTCCTTGCATTTTTCTCTTTAATTGTTATATCTAAAAACTCAAATGGCACCACCTTTCTGAAATCACTGCCTGCATTCTAGCTCTCAAAAGAAGTATATCTCAAATCCAAGACACCAAGTTCTCTCCTAAATGAAAATTCCTTCGCTCCACCATAGTGACTCCACGATATTTCCAAAATTTCATACATGACACCGCCTCTGAGAGGACCACAGACATAAACCATACTTGGTTTTTATCTCCATACTGAACACTAATATCACAATGTATGTCCATCCTGACATCCTCATGTGTACTCCCAAGCACTATGCTTGAATATTAGTTTAGATGTCAGATCTTCAAAGATCCATTCTCCAAACTCCTACCTGAGTAAGTCTTTCTTGCCCTCCTCATTGTCTTTTTGGGGTTTGATGACCAGTCAGAAAACAATATTCATCACAGAACTACTCTGAGACAGGGGAGTTCCAAGGATGGAGACCGTATTGGGAGACAAGACAGTCAGGCTGTTTTGTGAACTTGAATCTTTTGAAATAGTAGTATAACAAGGACAAAGATATTTTGGGTTCATATAACGGAAGGATTGTAGAGATAGCAGGAACACCTTGGAATGATAATATATTATGGGCTACGCTTACAGAATTTAACATCAAATATGCTATGAGTGAGAATTGGTTGAGTATGTTGATGGTGCATCTGTAAAATTTGTAATATATCCCAGAACCTTGGATGGCACAAGAAGTAAGAACAGGATGGACAGTGGCAACCGGGTTTGTCTGACTAGAGCATAAGAGAGGCTGGAGCATTTTTGATCTGGAGTCATGATCAGTCCTATGATCCTCTATCTAGGGCCAGTGCAGAATCTGCACATACTCAGAAGGAAACACTGGCCAGGCTCAACTTGACATCATCTATACTTTTTGTATGTGTCATGGTGGCTAATGTCAGGGAAATATCAGAAAGGTTTCAGACAAAGAAAAAAAACTGCACCAAAAGAAAATAAAAATTATTTAACTGAGTTAAGGCAGATGTAAACACATGCATGGGGTCTGGAGGTTTGGAGTACAGTGCTACATCTGTGTTGCTTCCTGAATTAGAGCTGCTGTGCTCATTCCCTAGACAGAGACAGAAATGCATTGGGGCAAGAGGCAAAAGTGGCAAAGGGTGGTAACTGAGGAATTTCAGTGATATGAGCTCCCTCAGGGCCCCAGAAGATTTGTTTGAATAAACAAATAACAAACAAACTTTAAAAAGATCACATTGAGGATATTAAGATGCCTCCCAGGTGGCCGCTTCCTGTCTGAAGAAGAGAGAAGATGGAGCTGCTGTCTCATGCCCTAGATGAAGGTGAGGTTCAGTTAAATTCTGAAGATGAAGCCATACTACAAAGAACTCTGAACTTAACTTACAGGAAGGTCAAGAGGATAAGATCATCAGAAAAATACAAATCTCAGACTTTCCAGTAGATGGATCAAAAGCTGAGACAGCCGGGCATGGTGGCGCACGCCTGTAATCCCAGCACTTGGGAGGCTGAGGCAGGAGGATCGTTGTGAGTTTGAGACCATCCTGGACTACAAAGTGAGCTCAAGACCAGCCTGAACTGCACAGGGAGACCCTGTCTCAAAAAAGACAAAAAGAAAAAAAAGATAAGACAGAGTAAGATACAAATAAATATTAAGAGTGACTTCCTGGAATTCTCTAAGCTACATGAAGCACATTTAATGAATTACATAAAAATTACTCAGAACAGGAAACTCCAACTTCACAGTCAAAAGGTAAAAAGAGAGAGTGTTGAGAAAAAAATCTCCAAAAATGAAAAATAAGAATCTCACTGGATCTCAAATAAAACCCCAATGGAAGGAACTTCAGAATCCAAGTGGTCACTAACAGTTTTGGTGACCATGAAGGACCATAAGTCCATGCTCCTGAGAGCCTTGCTGGTGACTTGGGAAGAGGGACTGACTGCTCCTGGCTAGCTGAACCCATGCTTGGGACACTAGGGATATGTCAGCAGCTGCTAATGGGCACTTTTGCACATGGGAGTCTTCCTTCTTTCCCATTCATGGCATCCGCTGCCTATGAATGCTTTTGTTGGTGAAAGGAAAAGGGTTGTTTGGGGGAGTTATGGAGTTCTGCCTGGTTTCCCAATGGAAGATGCACTCCAGAGATCTGCTGTCTCCACAATTTGGACCTTGCTTGGGTGATGTAAGGACTTTCACAGTTTGGGGCCATTTTAGATCTCTAGCAGGACATTTAGGACCATTGACTCATTGTCAGGGCTATGTGGAGTGAAGTAAGTGCCTTCACAATTTGTAGCCATTTAGAACTATTGTAGGACACATTGGGGCACTGATCAGTGTGAGAAGAGATTAAGAGGTAAAAAGAATTTTTTTGCAGGCATTTGGGTTTGGAGTACACATTTGCTTTGGTTTGCTTTATATGCTTTTTTCTTTTATCTTTCTGTTCTTATAACCTCCTTTATTCTACAGTAGGTAGTAGGGATTCAGTACCATCTAGAATTACATGAGCCATTTTGGGCTTAAA